GAGAGGGGACATAAGAGAAGTGGTGAGTCGACTCAGAACTCGTCTCATGTGGTGCAGGTTGGATGGTAGGCTGCCCTCTACGTGGTTCTGACCCAGGCGCCTGCATGCACGGTGTCCCAGCTGGGTTCGGACACGAGAGTTGAACCTACTGCGAACGCGACGGGCCGCGCGTAGGCGACGTTGTTACCTGGTTCGTGTTCTTGACATCGCGCCACATCGGCTGGTTGCGCGATTCGGTTTTGAGAGGGTTACAAATAGCCCTCGTGGCCATCAACGCTGGCTCGTGGCTCGTTGATGGTTGACGAGATCCAAATTGAGTTCGTTAGAAGCGCTCGTGCAATTCGCGAGTTTTCTCGCAGGTCGCCAATTTGTTGCACGTGCACAAAGGTGCACAGGTTCACTTGGAACGTGCGCACGCATGCTCAGGCTTTGATTCCGAGCCCCGTTCGAAAAACCGTATCGAAATCACTTTTGAGAATTCTCAAAAGTGATTTCGATATCACACAAGCGCGCAGTTCAAATGTTTGCGTTTCCGCATGAGTGCATCCCGAAATTGACTGTCGGAAAACCCCTCCTGCGTTACCTGCTTCTGTCCTTGAAATCCTGCTGCTTTCTCCTTCTCACCCTTGCATCTGTCTTGTCCCTATCCCCTGGTTCCCTTCTTCATCCTCCGCCACTACCTAAGAGAGATTCCCGCTCCCACAGCTGGCTGCTCACAGTGGCCTCGTCACCTAGGCTGGAGTTAGCCGTAAATCAGTAACATGTATCCACTATAGCGAGCAAACAAACGAGAGAACAAGGTTGAGATTGTTACGCTAGGCTACTTTATTCACCCTCACCCGTGTTGCCAATTTCTTGGCGAGTGAATTGTGCTCGAGTCGCCTGAGCCTGGATTGGCTGATTCTGATTTCCTGTCTCTCGAGGCTTCCTGAATCCCACCGCTTTGTACCCACCAGTTCCCTGTACTACCAACTTCGCGTCACCCTCAAGGATCCAACCAACCCTCGCTGAAACTAAACACTACAAGCTACACCCCTCTACACCTCACAAGCATGTAACAGAATATGATGCCTTAAGCTTTATATTCTGTGACATGACGAAAGCATATAACCCTCTGCTGTTCGAACTGTGTCATGAACCTGAAATCAATTTACACGGCACTTAGAGATCTGGGAGCAGCAGAGAGGATACAGTGTGCAAAGCCGAGATTTGAGAGGATGCAAGTGCAGAGAGGGCACATACAGCGTGCGCAGGCGAGATATGAGAGGACGCAAGTGCAGAGACGACTCAAGAGCAGAGAGGATACTTACAGCGTGCGCAGGCGAGATAAGTTGGCGATGGCTGAGGGAAAGGGGCCTGAGAGTTGGTTGTAACCCATGTCGCTGCAGCCCATGGGGAGGGGAAATGGGAATGAGCGAGAGGAAGGGTAGAGGGCAGAAAGCAGACGAAAGAGGTCAGCGGGGAGGAGAGGCAGCATAGGAGCATGGAAGACTGAGAGGGGTGCAGTGAGGCATGGTTGGAGAGGGGCCCGTGTGCGAGGTCAGGAACGCCAGGAACGAAGGCCAGAGGATCTTTGAGCCGCCTGAAAAATGGTCTCAGTTGGGATGGTTGGAGAGGCACGTGTGTGCGAGTCCAGGAACGAGGGCCACAGGAGTTGGAAGCCGGAGACTTCTGAGTCGACCTTAGAAGTCACCTCGTTACAACGAGGTCAGGAAGAGAGAGGCCACGCCACGGTTTGAAACAGGAGCGCACACGACTGCGGCAGCAGGAGCAGGCGTAGCTTCCGATCAGAAGTAAGCTCACAGATTCCCGAGGACTGGAAACATTAACGCAAGGTGCAGATAGGCCTGAACTGAATAAAGTATACCAATGGTTCGGAGTGAACCTAAAAATCTAAGAAGGGAAGAGCCGAAAGGAAGCTCACAGGTTGCTGAGAAGCGAGAGGCTTCCAATGCTGTCCGGTAGGGAGCCTGAGATGTTGTTGGTTCCTAATAACCTGCCACGTGGCACCCAGACATTGGTGGAAGTCACACACGGTCGGACAAGAAAGAGAAGCAATGCGGCAAATACTGCGGGCCAAGGGAGGAGAGCAGGGGAGCAGACAAGAGGAGCAGAGCAAGGGAGCAGACAAGAGGAGCAGAGCAAGGGAGCAGACAAGAGGAGCAGAGCAAGGGAGCAAACAAGAGGAGCAGAGCAAGGGAGCAGACAAGAGGAGCAGAGCAAGGGAGCAAACAAGAGGAGCAGAGCAAGGGAGCAACAAGAGGAGCAAGAGGAGCAGAGCAAGGGAGCAAACAAGAGGAGCAGAGCAAGGGAGCAAACAAGAGGAGCAGAGCAAGGGAGCAAACAAGAGGAGCAGAGCAAGGGAGCAAACAAGAGGAGCAGAGCAAGGGAGCAAACAAGAGGAGCAGAGCAAGGGAGCAAACAAGAGGAGCAGAGCAAGGGAGCAAACAAGAGGAGCAGAGCAAGGGAGCAAACAAGAGGAGCAGAGCAAGGGAGCAAACAAGAGGAGCAGAGCAAGGGAGCAAACAAGAGGAGCAGAGCAAGGGAGCAAACAAGAGGAGCAGAGCAAGGGAGCAAACAAGAGGAGCAGAGCAAGGGAGCAAACAAGAGGAGCAGAGCAAGGGAGCAAACAAGAGGAGCAGAGCAAGGGAGCAAACAAGAGGAGCAGAGCAAGGGAGCAAACAAGAGGAGCAGAGCAAGGGAGCAAACAAGAGGAGCAGAGCAAGGGAGCAAACAAGAGGAGCAGAGCAAGGGAGCAAACAAGAGGAGCAGAGCAAGGGAGCAAACAAGAGGAGCAGAGCAAGGGAGCAAACAAGAGGAGCAGAGCAAGGGAGCAAACAAGAGGAGCAGAGCAAGGGAGCAAACAAGAGGAGCAGAGCAAGGGAGCAAACAAGAGGAGCAGAGCAAGGGAGCAAACAAGAGGAGCAGAGCAAGGGAGCAAACAAGAGGAGCAGAGCAAGGGAGCAAACAAGAGGAGCAGAGCAAGGGAGCAAACAAGAGGAGCAGAGCAAGGGAGCAAACAAGAGGAGCAGAGCAAGGGAGCAAACAAGAGGAGCAGAGCAAGGGAGCAAACAAGAGGAGCAGAGCAAGGGAGCAAACAAGAGGAGCAGAGCAAGGGAGCAAACAAGAGGAGCAGAGCAAGGGAGCAAACAAGAGGAGCAGAGCAAGGGAGCAAACAAGAGGAGCAGAGCAAGGGAGCAAACAAGAGGAGCAGAGCAAGGGAGCAAACAAGAGGAGCAGAGCAAGGGAGCAAACAAGAGGAGCAGAGCAAGGGAGCAAACAAGAGGAGCAGAGCAAGGGAGCAAACAAGAGGAGCAGAGCAAGGGAGCAAACAAGAGGAGCAGAGCAGGGGAGCAAACAAGAGGAGCAGAGCAGCATAGGCTTTTTGGGGCAGTTCAAAAGAGTGAGGAATTGTGTCAGAGAGTGAATGAAGGCTGCACTGACAGGTAGACGAGGGACGGCAGCGAGGAGAGGGAGGCAGGCAGCGAGCCAGAGAGGTGGTTGTTCTGCAGGCCGCTGTGGTTGGGGGGGAAAGAATGAGGAAGGGGCGGGTAGGGCAGGGCAGGGGAGGTGAGGGACAGGGGGTGAGGATGGAGAAAGCAAGAAGCTGGGGGCATGTGGGGGAGAGGTGCAATGTTGGAATGAACGGGGGGGTGTTTGCTTTTCATGGAGCACAGCACACAAGACACGTGGCTGGCATGAGAGTCAAATGTTGAAGGCTGATGTGGACAGCATCCCGCATTGACTTGGTCGAGGGCGTTGCTGATGTGGACGCACATGAAGCTGATGTGGACTCACATGAAGCTGATGTGGACACACATGAAGCTGATGTGGACGCACATGAAGCTGATGTGGACTCACATGAAGCTGATGTGGATTCACATGAAGCTGATGCGGGCTCACATGTAAGTGACACTCGTATGGTTGGCAAGCGATGGTGGAAAGGGCCCTGTGAGCTGGTTGTTGCCCAAGTTGCTGCCACGTCAGCATGGGTGACGAATGGAATGAGGGGCAATGCGTGCTTTGATTCGTGATGGGTTATGCAGAAGCGATTAAAGAATAAGAAATGGAAATCAAGGGAAAGTCAGGGACGGCGGGCAGGAGTGAGCTGTCGTATTTTGAGACGTCTCAAAACACTCTTATTATCAGAGAGCTGTCGTATCGTATGCAAATGGGATGGGATGAGAGGTGGTACATACATGGAAGAGAGGTGGTACGTACATGGAAGAGAGGTGGTACATACATGGAAGAGAGGTGGTACATACATGGAAGAGAGGTGGTACATACATGGAAGAGAGGTGGTACATACATGGAAGAGAGGTTGTACATACATGGAAGAGAGGTTGGGAAGGGCGCTGAGGACTGCAGGGATGGGGCCTGAGAGGAGGTTGTAGGAGAGATCACTGCAGAGTGGATGGATGGGAGGGACGGCGGAGGAGAGAAGGGAGACGGGGCAGACGGGATGGAGTTAATGGAAGAGAGGGGTGGCAGACGGGACGGAGGTAATGGAAGAGAGGGGTGGCAGACGGGACGGAGGTAATGGAAGAGAGGGGTGGCAGACGGGACGGAGGTAATGGAAGAGAGGGGTGGCAGACGGGGATGGAAAGGAGGGGCGGGGCGGCATAAGGGAGATAAGTCGGTGAATTATTAGGCAAACCCTGGGATTGCATCCTCCTACATGGCATGATTTAACACCGCATCACGTTTTTTAAGTAAAGAACTAGCATAGCATTGAACTAGTTTAGGGGCATTGTTTTTGAGTCGAATGAAAACTATCATTGCATTGAACTAGCTTTAAGGACATTGGATAGAGCTGAAAAGAAGTGGTTAAGCAATAAAAACAAGCAATGCAACTGGGAAGAGGCTTCAATCGGGATGACATAAGCAGCGGTACAGGACAATATTCTCCATATAGATTTTCATTATTGTAGGTTGAGATAACAGATGTTACAACAAAAGCGACCAAAACGCATACGGATCAGCAAGCCGCCATCGCTCACATGACACTAAGCTTATTGAGGTTATAGCGGGGGGAATGGAGCCTGTGAGGTTGTTGCCGGCCAGGTTGCTGCATGTAATGGGTGGATAGGAGGATAGGAGGGTGGGAGGATGGCAGGAAGGGAGGGTGGGAGGATAAGGGGTTGGGAGGATGGGAGGGTGGGAGAGTGGCAGGAAGGGAGGATGGAAGGGTGGGAGGATGCGGATGGTTTGAGCTTTGAAGGATACATCCAGGGTGTTTTGAGACGTCTCAAAACAAGGATACATCCAGGGTGTTTTGAGACGTCTCAAAACAAGGATACATCCAGGGTGTTTTGAGACGTCTCAAAACAAGGATACATCCAGGGTGTATTGAGACGTCTCAAAACAAGGATACATCCAGGGTGTTTTGAGACGTCTCAAAACAAGGATACATCCAGGGTGTTTTGAGACGTCTCAAAACAAGGATACATCCAGGGTGTTTTGAGACGTCTCAAAACAAGGATACATCCAGGGTGTTTTGAGACGTCTCAAAACAAGGATACATCCAGGGTGTTTTGAGACGTCTCAAAACAAGGATACATCCAGGGTGTTTTGAGACGTCTCAAAACAAGGATACATCCAGGGTGTTTTGAGACGTCTCAAAACAAGGATACATCCAGGGTGTTTTGAGACGTCTCAAAACAAGGATACATCCAGGGGCAAATTGGGGGATAATTGGCACTTTCTGAGACGTCTAAAAACTGGTGACTTGTGGGGAATGGCACACAGTGGAATATGTTGCATGCATGGATGCGGCCTAATTGATGCCCGAGGAAATGGGAGCAAAAAAAGAAGTTGACTGACAGTTGGGTGAGCGCAGAGAGCCCAGCAATGGACGGAGGGATGACGCCCGTTAGTTGGTTGCCGCCCAGAGCTCTGCCAGTGGGGCGATTCGATCAGATGGGTGGTGGGTCTGTTTTTGAGTCAACTCAAAAGCAGACTCATCACACGTGAGTTGGTTGCTGCCCAGAGCCCTGCCAGTGGGGCGATGCCAGTGGGGCGATGCCAGTGGGGCGATGCCAGTGGGGGGCGATTCGAGAAGATGGGTGGCCATGCGAGTTAATGTGGGCGATATGAAGCTTCGTGATGAAGAACGTGAGTGCACTCTCAGAGCAATGCCACACTCACAGCAGACGCACTCGCAGCACGCGCACTCGCAACACGCGCACTCAAAGCACTGCCATACTCACAGCATTGCCGCACTCACAGCACTGCCACATCACAGCACTGCCACATCACAGCACTGCCACATGTAGCTGACCCAAGTTGCCCGGTGCTGATGGGGTGGAACCCTAGAACAAAAGATCCACACACGCGACATCCAGGCCTAATGTGTCTGGCTTTCTGATTAGTAGACCTTTTCTCACTACTTCCCTCGATTTTCAGATTAGTAGACTCGGTACTACAGATCGTTACTCTTAGCAGGCTTGCTGCGTTTCGAATCCAATCAATTTCAACTGTGATGGGGTGGAACCCTAGAACAAAAGATCCGCGTGTAAGGAGACGACTTTTGAGACGTCTCAGAAGGCGCGCACCCGCTGCATTGCCGCACTCGCTGCATTGCCACACCCGCTGCATTGCCGCACTCGCTGCATTGCCACACCCGCTGCATTGCCGCACTCGCTGCATTGCCACACTCGCTGCATTGCCACACTCGCTGCATTGCCGCACTCGCTGCATTGCCGCACTCGCTGCATTGCCGCACTCGCTGCATTGCCACCCTCGCTGCATTGCCACACTCGCTGCATTGCCACACTCGCTGCATTGCCGCACTCGCTGCATTGCCGCACTCGCTGCATTTCCGCACTCGCTGCATTGCCGCACTCGCTGCATTTCCGCACTCGCTGCATTTCTGCACTCGCTGCATTGCCGCACTCACAGCATGCGTAACCGACTCAGGTTGCCCAGTGCTGATGGGATGGAGCCCTTGATGCTCGCAGAGCTCACATCCCTGCCATGTAGCGTTGCACACAACTCAGGCGAGGAACAAGCAAGCAAGAGGCACAACAGCCCTTCAATACTCAACTCGATATGCACATGGATTCTTTATCTACAGAGCATTCCTGTTGATTTGCCATTCAGGTGGTTCTTGAGGCGCCTCAAAAACCACCTCAGAGCATTCCTCGACCTTGTCTTGTTCCTGATGATTTGCCATTCTTGTCCCCTCTGAGCCATGTGCAGCCAGGAGAAGGGGCTATGCTTGAGTCGACAGAACAATCATTCCTGAATCTCTCACTCCTCAGAGATGAGAGTGGTCGGGAGGAGGAAGCGGCGAGCCAAGCTGCTGCAGAACTGAACTGAACCAGTAGCGAGGGTGCCATGAACAGCTACCAGTAGCTACTGGGTGCCATGAACAGCTACCAGTAGCTACTGGGTGCCATGATGAACTGGCACGGCTGTTTGGGTGAATAAGCTTGCCACCCATGCTCCGTGTGGAAAACTTATGCTGCTTTCACCATGCACCATACAGCATATGTTGTGCATTGCAATGCAGTGCAGTGCAGGCACATGCCTGCCAGCACAAGTGCCTGCCAGGACTGGGGGTTTGCTGTGGCGAGTGACACAAGGGCGTCCAGCACAGGCCTGCCAGCGCATGCCTGCCAGCGCATGCCTGCCAGCGCATGCCTGCCAGCGCATGCCTGCCAGCGCATGCCTGCCTGCGCATGCCTGCCAGCGCATGCCTGCCAGCGCATGCCTGCCTGCGCATGCCTGCCAGCGCATGCCTGCCAGCGCATGCCTGCCAGCGCATGCCTGCCTGCGCATGCCTGCCTGCGCATGCCTGCCTGCGCATGCCTGCCTGCGCATGCCTGCTAGGCCGGGTGGTGTGCTGTGGTGAGGGGCGTACAGGTATTGCAGGAGAGGCAGCGATGCAAGGGCGGCCGGGAGGGAGCCTGAGAGGGGGTTAGTTCCGATGGCCCTGGGGGGAATGGGTAGGACGGGCAAGGGAGAGTGGGAGGGGCAGGGAGGAGATTTGAGAATTCGGTAAAGATGCTCTTTAGCCTCTATTGAGCATCTTTAGCCTGTAAAGACGCTCACATGCAAAGCCGAGAGAGTCGATTGAACTCGAGTCAATTGAACTCGAGTCAATTGAACTCGAGTCAATTGAACTCGAGTCAATTGAACTCGAGTCAATTGAACAGGCTCCAAGCTTCAGATCTGCAGCTATTCCGCTATGAGTGAGTGAAGACCCCACGAGGTTGAAGAGGCTGCAGCATTACTCACAGGTACTCGAGGCTGTTCAGCGCACTGATGCTGCTGGGAATGCTGCCTGTGAAGTTGTTGTGGCATTACAGGGTACTCGGAGGAGTCACTTAATGAGAGTTCTCAAAGTGACGCCAGCAGAGGGCGCGGCAGTACTCACAGGTACTCGAGGCTATTCAACACACTCAGGCTGCTGGGAATGCTGCCTTGTGGCATTACAGGTCTGAGTCACTTAATAAGAGTTCTCAAAGTGACTCCAGGAGAGGCTGCAGCATTACTCACAGGTACTCGAGGCTGTTCAGCGCACTGAGGCTGCTGGGAATGCTTCCTGTGAAGTTGTTCTGAGCTAGCATACTAAGGGGTGCAGGGGAAGAGAGACAGGAAAAGGGAGGGGAAGGTAGACCCGTGAAGTGAGACAGGGGAAGAGACACCCACCCGTGTCACATGACAGCAAGTAGTAACGGCAGCTGAAAGTATGAAACACTTGCAGGCGCTGTAGGGCAAGTATCAAGGAAAAGCACCATTTGAGGGGGGTTAATGCCTTTTCAAGCACCACCAACTCAAGGCTGTGATGATGCAACATTTGCTCGCAGCGGATGAAAAAACACTGATAAGTTATATAATTTCCAAGTTGTCAAACCTACAGGCGCTGCAGGGCAGTGAGGGATGTGATTGTATCCGGTATGACCCCATTGAAGGCACCGTTATAGAGGGCCCTGTTGTGACGAGGGTGTAACCACAAGGCATGGCATGGCATGGCATGGCATGGGATGGCATGGAATTGGATGCATGCATGATATGGGATGGTATGCATGGCATAGCATGGCATGGGATGACATGGGATGGCATGGGATGGCAACGCTTGGGATGGGATGCGATGGCAAGTCCTGGCTTCAATTCATTGATCATGTCCAGTAGAGTAATCGAACGTACAGCTCTGTAAGCTGTGTTAATCTGCTATGATCCAATCGTTGGATTCCAACGTACAGCTGTGTGAGCTGTGTGAGCTGTGCGAGCTGTGTGAGCTGATTGGAATGGGGGCAGTGAGGTTGCTGTGCTGGGAACATCACTTTTGGGCAACAAGGTGATTTGTGAGTCGACATGCATGCATGCCAGCTAGAACATACGCCTCTGTGGGCCTAGTTTTGAGTCGACTCAAAACCAGCTAGAACATACGCCTCTGTGGGCCTAGTTTTGAGTCGACTCAAAACCAGCTAGAACATACGCCTCTGTGGGCCTAGTTTTGAGTCGACTCAAAACCAGCTAGAACATACGCCTCTGTGGGCCTAGTTTTGAGTCGACTCAAAACCAGCTAGAACATACGCCTCTGTGGGCCTAGTTTTGAGTCGACTCAAAACCAGCTAGAACATACGCCTCTGTGGGCCTAGTTTTGAGTCGACTCAAAACCAGCTAGAACATACGCCTCTGTGGGCCTAGTTTTGAGTCGACTCAAAACCAGCTAGAACATACGCCTCGGTGGGCCTAGTTTTGAGTCGACTCAAAACCAGCCAGAACATACGCCTCTGTGGGCCTAGTTTTGAGTCGACTCAAAACCAGCTAGAACATACGCCTCTGTGGGCCTAGTTTTGAGTCGACTCAAAACCAGCCAGAACATACGCCTCTGTGGGCCTAGTTTTGAGTCGACTCAAAACCAGCTAGAACATACGCCTCTGTGGGCCCAGTTTTGAGTCGACTCAAAACCAGCCAGAACATACGCCTCTGTGGGCCTAGTTTTGAGTCGACTCAAAACCAGCCAGAACATACGCCTCTGTGGGCCTAGTTTTGAGTCGACTCAAAACCAGCTAGAACATGCGCCTCTGTGGGCCTAGTTTTGAGTCGACTCAAAACCAGCTAGAACATGCGCCTCTGTGGGCCTAGTTTTGAGTCGACTCAAAACCAGCTAGAACATACGCCTCTGTGGGCCTAGTTTTGAGTCGACTCAAAACCAGCTAGAACATACGCCTCTGTGGGCCTAGTTTTGAGTCGACTCAAAACCAGCTAGAACATACGCCTCTGTGGGCCTAGTTTTGAGTCGACTCAAAACCAGCTAGAACATACGCCTCTGTGGGCCTAGTTTTGAGTCGACTCAAAACCAGCTAGAACATACGCCTCTGTGGGCCTAGTTTTGAGTCGACTCAAAACCAGCTAGAACATACGCCTCTGTGGGCCTAGTTTTGAGTCGACTCAAAACCAGCTAGAACATACGCCTCTGTGGGCCTAGTTCTGAGTCGACTCAAAACCAGCCAGAACATACGCCTCTGTGGGCCTAGTTTTGAGTCGACTCAAAACCAGCTAGAACATACGCCTCTGTGGGCCTAGTTTTGAGTCGACTCAAAACCAGCTAGAACATGCGCCTCTGTGGGCCTAGTTTTGAGTCGACTCAAAACCAGCCAGAACATACGCCTCTGTGGGCCTAGTTTTGAGTCGACTCAAAACCAGCTAGAACATACGCCTCTGTGGGCCTAGTTTTGAGTCGACTCAAAACCAGCTAGAACATGCGCCTCTGTGGGCCTAGTTTTGAGTCGACTCAAAACCAGCTAGAACATACGCCTCTGTGGGCCTAGTTTTGAGTCGACTCAAAACCAGCTAGAACATACGCCTCTGTGGGCCTAGTTTTGAGTCGACTCAAAACCAGCTAGAACATACGCCTCTGTGGGCCTAGTTTTGAGTCGACTCAAAACCAGCTAGAACATACGCCTCTGTGGGCCTAGTTTTGAGTCGACTCAAAACCAGCTAGAACATACGCCTCTGTGGGCCTAGTTTTGAGTCGACTCAAAACCAGCTAGAACATACGCCTCTGTGGGCCTAGTTTTGAGTCGACTCAAAACCAGCTAGAACATACGCCTCTGTGGGCCTAGTTTTGAGTCGACTCAAAACCAGCTAGAACATACGCCTCTGTGGGCCTAGTTTTGAGTCGACTCAAAACCAGCTAGAACATACGCCTCTGTGGGCCTAGTTTTGAGTCGACTCAAAACCAGCTAGAACATACGCCTCTGTGGGCCTAGTTTTGAGTCGACTCAAAACCAGCCAGAACATACGCCTCTGTGGGCCTAGTTTTGAGTCGACTCAAAACCAGCTAGAACATACGCCTCTGTGGGCCCAGTTTTGAGTCGACTCAAAACCAGCCAGAACATACGCCTCTGTGGGCCTAGTTTTGAGTCGACTCAAAACCAGCCAGAACATACGCCTCTGTGGGCCTAGTTTTGAGTCGACTCAAAACCAGCTAGAACATGCGCCTCTGTGGGCCTAGTTTTGAGTCGACTCAAAACCAGCTAGAACATGCGCCTCTGTGGGCCTAGTTTTGAGTCGACTCAAAACCAGCTAGAACATACGCCTCTGTGGGCCTAGTTTTGAGTCGACTCAAAACCAGCTAGAACATACGCCTCTGTGGGCCTAGTTTTGAGTCGACTCAAAACCAGCTAGAACATACGCCTCTGTGGGCCTAGTTTTGAGTCGACTCAAAACCAGCTAGAACATACGCCTCTGTGGGCCTAGTTTTGAGTCGACTCAAAACCAGCTAGAACATACGCCTCTGTGGGCCTAGTTTTGAGTCGACTCAAAACCAGCTAGAACATACGCCTCTGTGGGCCTAGTTTTGAGTCGACTCAAAACCAGCTAGAACATACGCCTCTGTGGGCCTAGTTTTGAGTCGACTCAAAACCAGCTAGAACATACGCCTCTGTGGGCCTAGTTCTGAGTCGACTCAAAACCAGCCAGAACATACGCCTCTGTGGGCCTAGTTTTGAGTCGACTCAAAACCAGCTAGAACATACGCCTCTGTGGGCCTAGTTTTGAGTCGACTCAAAACCAGCTAGAACATGCGCCTCTGTGGGCCTAGTTTTGAGTCGACTCAAAACCAGCTAGAACATACGCCTCTGTGGGCCTAGTTTTGAGTCGACTCAAAACCAGCTAGAACATACGCCTCTGTGGGCCTAGTTTTGAGTCGACTCAAAACCAGCTAGAACATACGCCTCTGTGGGCCTAGTTTTGAGTCGACTCAAAACCAGCTAGAACATACGCCTCTGTGGGCCTAGTTTTGAGTCGACTCAAAACCAGCTAGAACATACGCCTCTGTGGGCCTAGTTTTGAGTCGACTCAAAACCAGCTAGAACATACGCCTCTGTGGGCCTAGTTTTGAGTCGACTCAAAACCAGCTAGAACATACGCCTCTGTGGGCCTAGTTTTGAGTCGACTCAAAACCAGCTAGAACATACGCCTCTGTGGGCCTAGTTTTGAGTCGACTCAAAACCAGCTAGAACATACGCCTCTGTGGGCCTAGTTTTGAGTCGACTCAAAACCAGCTAGAACATACGCCTCTGTGGGCCTAGTTTTGAGTCGACTCAAAACCAGCTAGAACATACGCCTCTGTGGGCCTAGTAGAACATACGCCTCTGTGGGCACTGAGAGGAAGGCTGGAATAGAGCCTGTGCGGATAGAGTGAACGTGACTCTTTCTAGGCAACGTTTTGACTATTGAATCGATTGACTCAGCAGGTAGAGTGAACAAGACTCTTTCTAGGCAACGTTTTGACTATTGAATCGATTGACTCAGCAGGTAGAGCGTACAGCTCTGTGAGTTGTGTGAGCGCCGAGAGGAAGGCTGGAATGGAGCCTGTGAGGTTGCTGTCAAGCAGTGAGCTGAGCACAGATGGGTGAAAGGGGGGTGCACAGGGAAGGTGCCGTTTGAGTCGATCCAAGAGCTGAATCCTCGACAGCCTGTGAGGATGCTGTTGCGCACTGAGCTGGCCACGATGGGTGAAAGGAGAGGGCACAGAGATGGTGAAAGGAGAGAGCACAGAGATGGTGAAAGGAGAGGGCACAGAGATGGTGAAAGGAGAGGGCACAGAGATGGTGAAAGGAGAGGGCACAGAGATGGTGAAAGGAGAGGGCACAGAGATGGTGAAAGCAGAGGGCACAGAGATGGTGGAAGGAGAGGGCGCAGAGATGGTGAAAGGAGAGGGCACAGAGATGGTGAAAGGAGAGGGCACAGAGATGGTGAAAGGAGAGGGCACAGAGATGGTGAAAGGAGAGGGCACAGAGATGGTGAAAGGAGAGGGCACAGAGAAGGTGAAAGGAGAGGGCACAGAAAAGGTGAAAGGAGAGGGCACAGAGATGGTGAAAGGAGAGGGCACAGAGATGGTGAAAGGAGAGGGCACAGAGATGGTGAAAGGAGAGGGCACAGAGATGGTGAAAGGAGAGGGCACAGAGATGGTGAAAGGAGAGGGCACAGAGATGGTGAAAGGAGAGGGCACAGAGATGGTGAAAGGAGAGGGCACAGAGATGGTGAAAGGAGAGGGCACAGAGAAGGTGAAAGGAGAGGGCACAGAGATGGTGAAAGGAGAGGGCACAGAGATGGTGAAAGGAGAGGGCACAGAGATGGTGAAAGGAGAGGGCACAGAGATGGTGAAAGGAGAGGGCACAGAGATGGTGAAAGGAGAGGGCACAGAGATGGTGAAAGGAGAGGGCACAGAGAAGGTGAAAGGAGAGGGCACAGAGATGGTGAAAGGAGAGGGCACAGAGATGGTGAAAGGAGAGGGCACAGAGATGGTGAAAGGAGAGGGCACAGAGATGGTGAAAGGAGAGGGCACAGAGATGGTGAAAGGAGAGGGCACAGAGATGGTGAAAGGAGAGGGCACAGAGATGGTGAAAGGAGAGGGCACAGAGATGGTGACTTATAAGTCGATTCAAGAGCTAGCACCACAGATGGGTGGATGGAGAAGCAAAAGCAGCGGGGGGAAGCAAAAGCAGCGGGGGGAAGCAAAAGCAGAGGGGGTAAGCAAAAGCCGAGGGGGGAAGGAAAAGCAGAGGGGGGAAGCAAAAGCAGAGGGGGGAAGCAAAAGCAGAGGGGGGAAGCAAAAGCCGAGGGGGGAAGGAAAAGCAGAGGGGGGAAGCAAAAGCAGAGGGGGGAAGCAAAAGCAGAGGGGGGAAGCAAAAGCAGAGGGGGGGAGCAAAAGCAGAGGGGGGAAGCAGAGGGGAAGAAACAATAGGACGAGGGAGGATTTGTGAGCGAACAGACTTGTCGTGCGATGATGCATGCAGAAGGCATAGGGGCGCAAGAGCGCGTGCACGGCTCAAGGAAGCATGGAGGTGCAGGGAGGTGCATCGAGGTGCGTAGAGGTGCATGGAGAGGCACGGAGAGGCACGGAGAGGCATGGAGAGGCATGGAGAGGCATGGAGAGGCACGGAGAGGCATGGAGAGGCATGGAGAGGCATGGAGAAGCATGGAGAGGCATGGAGAGGCATGGAGAGGCACGGAGAGGCATGGAGAGGCATGGAGAGGCATGGAGAGGCACGGAGAGGCATGGAGAGGCATGGAGAGGCACGGAGAGGCATGGTGAGGGATGGAGAGGCATGGAGAGGCATGGAGAGGCATGGAGAGGCATGGAGAGGCATGGAGAGGCATGGAGAGGCATGGAGAGGCACTGACAGAGAAGAGAGCGCATTGAGCTGCGCGAGGGCTGAGGGCAGGGTGCCCCGGAGAGCCGCACCTGAGAGCCGCCTGTGTGGCAGCATGGGGGGGGCATGACATGACAGCATGGGGGGGATTGATGGCTTTTGAGAGGTCTCAAAAGGCGAGGGCTGAGGGCAGGGTGCCCTGGAGAGCCGCACCTGAGAGCCGCCTGTGTGGCAGCATGGGTTGATGGATAACAGAATGGGGGGATACATGACAGCATGGCGGGATGCACAACAGCATGGGCGCATGGATGCCTGACAGAAAGAAGCGTGTGAGAGATGCTTATAAAGGGGATGACAACGAGAAAAGTCCCTGCTAGCAGCTCTGTGTCCCATGTGCGATCTTGCGTATAGAAGAGATGCGATTCACTCCGGCAAGGCACTGACAGACAGGGAGGCGAGGCAGTGACAGGGAGGCGAGGGACTGACAGGGAGGCGAGGGACTGACAGGGAGGCGAAGGACTGACAGGGAGGCGAGGGACTGACAGGGAGGCGAGGGACTGACAGGGAGGCGAAGGACTGACAGGGAGGCGAGGGACTGACAGGGAGGTGAGGGACTGACAGGGAGGTGAGGCGGCGGAGGGTGCTGATGGCATTGGGAATGGAAGCAGTTCCGTTGCTCAGGTCGAGTGTTCTGCACATTGCATCGCAACAAATGCCGTGTCACATGAAATGCATGAGATGAGACAAAAAAGGAAACAGGAGGAATTTCTTGCCAAATAAAACAATCAGACCAAGCATGGCACATGCATGCATGGACGAACAGGCGGTTTGCTTGCGATGAGGACGGGACGGGTGGGGACTTGGGGATGAATGAATTCAGCAGGAAGAGTGTGCAAGCGCCAAATAGATCAAGACGAGTGCCATGCCAAGAGTGCCTAGTTTAGGCGTTCATGCGTCAACACACTATTAGCAGAGGTCCTGCAACAGTTACATCAGTGGAGGGAGGGGTGTGCAGTGCTCACAGGTCTGTGAGGTGGGTAGGCTGCCAATGGCCGTGGGGAAGGGCCCTGGCAGCCCTGCCGGCACCTGCTCCGCTGTCAGCGTCCTGCCATGTGCGCGGGGATGGAGGGAGAGAGGGAGAGAGGGAGAGAGGGAGGAGGGAGTGTCACAGAAATCACAGTCAAGAAAAATATAATCAGTTCCATGCTTAGTGAGGTGTAGAAGGGTGTAGCTTGTAGTATTCAGTTGCAGCGAGGGGCGGTTGGGTTCTTGAGAACGACGCGACGCGAAGTTGGTAGTACCAACTTGAGCCCAATTCACCGGCAGGACCTGCTGGGCACAAAGGGGTGGGATTCAGGAAGCCTCGACAGACAGGAAATCAGAATCGGCCAATCCAAGGCCCAGGCGACTCGAGCCCAATTCACTTGCCGAGAATTTTGCAACACGGGTGTGGGTGAATAAAGTAGCCTCGCGTAGCAATCGCAACCTTTGTTCTCTCGTTTGTCTACCTACTATAGTGGATGCAAGTTGCCGATCTAAGCTACTACAGCCAGGTGGCGAGGCCAGTCAAGGTGGCCACCAGGTGGGAACACCAGGTGGGAGCACCAGGTGGGAGCACCAGGTGGGAGCACCAGGTGGGAGCACCAGGTGGGAGCACCAGGTGGGAGCACCAGGTGGGATCACCAGGTGGCATCACCAGGTGGCATCACCAGGTGGCTACCTTGAAGGAAGGCACGGATCCCTCACAAACGAGAGGAAGGAAGGGAAGACAGGAAAAGAGCACTGGAGAGGGGAGGGAGGGTAAGGACAGGAAGGAGAGGGCGAGCCATGGGATGGGATGCCACAGGAGAGGGCGAGCCATGGGATGGGATGCCACAGGAGAGGGCGAGCCATGGGATGGGATGCCACAGGAGAGGGCGAGCCATGGGATGGGATGCCACAGGAGAGGGCGAGCCATGGGATGGGATGCCACAGGAGAGGGCGAGCCATGGGATGGGATGCCACAGGAGAGGGCGAGCCATGGGATGGGATGCCACAGGAGAGGGCGAGCCATGGGATGGGATGCCACAGGAGAGGGCGAGCCATGGGATGGGATGCCACAGGAGAGGGCGAGCCATGGGATGGGATGCCACAGGAGAGGGCGAGCCATGGGATGGGATGCCACAGGAGAGGGCGAGCCATGGGATGGGATGCCACAGGAGAGGGCGAGCCATGGGATGGGATGCCACAGGAGAGGGCGAGCCATGGGATGGGATGCCACAGGAGAGGGCGAGCCATGGGATGGGATGCCACAGGAGAGGGCGAGCCATGGGATGGGATGCCACAGGAGAGGGCGAGCCATGGGATGGGATGCCACAGGAGAGGGCGAGCCATGGGATGGGATGCCACAGGAGAGGGCGAGCCATGGGATGGGATGCCACAGGAGAGGGCGAGCCATGGGATGGGATGCCACAGGAGAGGGGTTTTCCGACCGGAGGAGGGCGGAGGGAGGACGAAGAGGGAGGAGGGAGGAAGGAAGAAAGAGGAGGGAGGAGGGAGGAGGGAGGAGGAGGGAGGGAGGAGGGAGGAGGGGGGAGGGAGGAGGGAGGAGGGAGGAGGGAGGAGGGGGGGAGGGAGGAGGGAGGAGGTAGGACGGAGGAGGAAGGAGGGAAAGAGGGGGGGAGGTTCCAGGAGGCGAAAAAGGGGTAGTGGCAGTCAGGAAGTGACATTACTGATGGCACGTGATTGCATGTTCGTCTCATCCTCGTCATTCACCCCCATGCGCATCACTCACATGCTCCTCACTCGCATGCCCGTCACTCACAAGCCCATCACTCACATGCCCATCACTCACAAGCCCACCACTCACATGGCGACTTGGGAATAGACTCAAAAGTCACCTTAACTCACATGCCCATGACGAACCCGCCCTCATTGCACGTAAGCCCCGTGGCAGCATCACAGTTGCCATTGGGGATAGAGAGACGACTTTTGAGGCGACTTCTGAGGCGGCTTTTGAGGACTTTTAGGCACCTCAAGACAAGTCACTCACATGCCCACGACGAACCCGCCCTCATCGCACGTCAGCCCCGTGGCAGCATCGCAGTTGCCATTGGCGCGCCACTCGTTGAGGCTCACCGCCCACCCCGCCTGCATCTCCAGCAGTGGGGGAACTGGGGGGAGGCGGAGAAGGGAGGATGGGGGACAGGGGGGAGGATGGGACGGCGGGGGAAAGATGGGGGGAAGGGAAGACGGGGGAAGGAGATGAGGTGATGGAAAAGGGCGCAGCGGGTACAGTGGGGACTGAGAGAAAGCGTGGACAGGGGGGCGGAGTCAGCAGGGACTGTAGGCTCACAGAGCCGTTCTGTACATTCGGAATGGCCACAGTAGGAGTGAGAACGGGCAGCAGGCGTATCAAAGGCTGCTTTTCAAGAGAGCGGGCAGCAGGCGTTTCAGTAGAAGGGCTGCGTCGCTGTCGCCCCCAGTGCTCTAGACCACTGGGCCAAAAATGCGATGTTTCAGAGGCGCAACGGTGCGCTTTCAGCCCTGTTTAAGCCAGCTGACGTTAAAATCACTAGAACGCGCCGCCGATAGTGCTAGTAGGCGTCGGCGGCGCGAACGACGCGGCGGACAGGGGATTCAAGAAACAATTTGCGAGGGTCAATGGGGGCGCGAGCCGGCGCCAATGGGGGTGTTCGCGAAGTGCGAAGTGCCAATTGCAGCTGTACCTTGCGATTCGCGACTGAAATTTTGCGACTCGTAGCTGTACCTTGCGACTCGCGGCTGTACCTTGCGACTCGTAGCTGTACCTTGCGACTCGTAGCTGTACCTTGCGACTCGTAGCTGTACCTTGCGACTCGCGGCTGTACCTTGCGAGGAGTCAATGAGGACGGCCAAGGAAGCGGGGAGTCACTTTTGAGAGATTTCAAAATTACATTTTGGGATTTCTCAGTAGGAGCGGCGATGGACAAGGGGACTTTAGAGGCGCCTCGAAAGCCATTCGCAGATGTACCTTGCGACTCGCGGCTGTACCTGGCGACTCGCAGCTGTACCTTGCGACTCGCAGCTGTCCCTTGCGACTCGCAGCTGTACCTTGCGACTCGCAGCTGTACCTTGCGACTCGCAGATGTACCTTGCGACTCGCAGATGTACCTTGCGAGGAGTCAATGAGGACGGCGAAGGAAGTGGGGAGACGAAGCACGAGGAGCGAGGCGAGCAGAGCAACGTGCGACAGGTAGTAGTTGCCGCGGCGACGGGACTCGGCGCGCTTTCGGATTGCGCTGCGCGAGTGTGCGGGCCCTTGGCGAGCGCGGGGAAAGGTTTGTACAGCGGGGAGTGGCGACCAATGCGCCATGCCGAGGCGTCGTGTAGCGCTCAACCCGAAAATCTTGGCCCGGAAAATTGTTTCGAAGTATATAATGCTACAGTTCTACCTATTTCGAAATGCTGTACGAATGCGGCACGAAACGTTATTGACTAGGCGGCAATAAGGGGTGGTGATGCCAAAGTGCTGAATGCATTTTCCTACTATACCTGTAGTGGAGAGCAAAAGCAAGAATGGAGAGCGAAAGCAAGAATGTAGGAAACGGGGAGTGGCGGCAAACAAATGAGAACGAAAAGGGTGTTGCCAGGCTCGGTGCTGACATTGAGTTGTCTGGTCTGGTTCGGAAGGAGGCACCCTCCGAACCGTGAGACTATTTAGTGATTTGAGACAACTAATTTTGACCAGAATGGCAAACGGGCGGGTGTAGTTGGAGTTTGCTTTTGAGAGGCTAAAGTCACTAAGCCCTCCATAATTGCCTTTGCTTGATTATGAGTTAAGTTCTGGCATTTGTCAGAAATGGACGTCGAGTTCTGAAGTACTCTTCAGCAGAGTCATCGAAAATATTAGACTGACCGGAGAAATATGTTCGGCGGTGGCGGGGAACCCAAAAACTGGCAACCTTGGTGACAGTGATTGGGTCTCCTCTGAGCTGTTCGGTTCGGGGTGTGCTTCGGTCGCAGGAAACCTGTGCCCTTGCCTCGGCTCGATTTTCCCTCTGGCGTAGCGCTACGGGCTCGAAACGAAGGCAAAGATTTAGCCTATTGAGCGACTTGCTAATGAACCAATCAATCTTGGTATTCAAAATAATCATCTACGCGTCAAGGATGCCCAGCCCAAATGATTAGGCACGCTCAAGCGAAAGCACGGGTAGGTAGGAATGAACAACACACAGCTAGATCAGATGGCGTTCAGCTGTTTTGCCACGAAAGCCAGCTCATGACCCAAATTTTGGGCACGCATGATACACTGAATTGTAGCAACAATGGTGAGACATTCCCACACATATCAGTTAAGGTATGCGTACATTTCCTAAACCACTTGCACACAAGTCAAACTGCTTCTTTCCCGGAGCAGGCAGGGTTTTGATGTAGCTGCTTCATTTGAACATCAGGGTGGCAAAGGCCGGCACAGGTGGGCATGTCCCAGACAGCCACAGCAGTGGGCGTGCAATTATTTTGGCAAAGAGGCCAGCTCATCTCATGCGATACGTCGAAGGCCAGCATCCATGCTCCTACGGTCACATCCTCGTTTAAGAACATCCTCAACCTGCGGCCATGGCGCATGACAAAAAAACAGAGAAACCCTATCGGCCATGAGAAGAATAGAAGTTGGATTTCAAAATCAAAAGCAACCATATCTTGCAGTGTTTGTACTGACTCCTATGTTTGAGAGATTCTCCCTTGCAGGTCCTACCAGTGTATTATACAAATTTGTCAACCAGACATAGTCGACTCGCCTCAACCAACGACAGGCATGACCCACTTCAATCGAAAACATGCACAACTGACATGCCCTCGGGAATGGTGTTGAGAATGTTGACCACATAGTACGAGAGGGCGTAGATGGTGCAGCAGGCATCCAGGAAATACATGCACGGCTCATCACGTTGCAAGACAAGCACAGCTCACCTGCCCTTGGGAATGGAGTTGAGAATGTTGACCACGTCGTATGAGAGGGCGTAGATGGGGCCGTAGGCATGCAGGAAATACTCCGATCCCACCAGCCATGACTTGGGCTCAAACCTGCACAGAACCCATAAAAAAAAAAAAAAAAAAAAAAAAAGAGCGGTTTTAAATGAATCCAGGGGCATGGATGAGTTGCATGGCTCTCAAGAATAGCTCAAGAGGCACAACTGCTGCAAACAAATAGTCCACTGCATGTTACGGGCTGAGAAAGGCCCCGAAATGAGGTGTACTATGGAAACTCACCACTTCATTTTGGGGTTAGTGAACACAGCTCCCTTCTTCAAGCACCCAAGGTAGGTTCGAGGTGATTTCCTTGGCCTGGCGATCAGAGAGGAGAGGCGGTCTGCAGGGACGAAAAAAAGAACAGCCAGCAGAAGCCGGGACTCTCGACATTCTTCTGCAACGTATGATCAGCATTATACTCTTAAAAGAAACGAGTTTTAAGGCGTTTCAAAAGTCGCCCAATGTGGCCAGCAACATAATAATTCGCATTCTCATTTTCTCCCTCCCAAAAAAACGAGAAGGATTTACTCATCAGAAAAGGTTTTGCGGAAACGCGCACGCACAGACACAAACATATGAGACTCCTTACAATCCTGTTTCACAGAAAATATAACACGGACGAACCTGGTCTCAAGTAAATGTCGTCGTCTGCCTTGACGTAAAATTCCGCTTCATAGAGCTTGAAGAGAGACGTGAAGTACACGAGACTGGGGAATGGGGGATAGGAGGGCAGGACGAGAAAGGAGCGAGGAGAGCTGTATACATACATACATCGAGAACTTCCACTGCAACTACGAAGGTTAAGCAGAACTTCTGGGCGAACTACAGCAAGAGCGTGGGGGGTACGAGCAAAGGTGTGAAGATGGAAGCTTCCGACGTAGCAGCAGCACGTGAGAAAGAAGCAGAATAGTAGCGAGCATCTCACGTTGCAAGCAGCAAGCAACCTCACAACCTTACGTCTTGTGGTTGAGATTGAGGTACGCCTCGTCCACGTCGATGCGAAGGAAGTCCCCGTGAGTGCTGTTCTCCGCCTGCAGCAGCTGCTCGTCCAGTGTGCTTCTGCCGTGCCCGATGATGAACCGGAACACCAACCCCGTTGCTGCTTCTATGCTGGAATTCATGGGGGAGGGGAGGTGTGAGGATGGGGAGCGCAGGGCATCTGCAGCATCTGCTCATCCATTGCACTCCTGCCATGCCCGATGATGAACCGGAACACCAGCCCCGTCGCTGCTTCCACCCTGAATGGAGGAAAATGAGGTGGGGGGGGGAGGGCTGCTTCTATGCTGAAGTAGACGAGAAGGGGGAGGAGGGAAGGAGGGCAGGGTTGAACAACGCACAAAACAGATGGCGTGAGGCGCACAGGGAACAGGGGGCTGACCATCTGACCTCAGGGCGCACAGGGAACAGGGGGCTGACCATCTGACCTCAGGGCGCACAGGGAACAGGGGGCTGACCATCTGACCTCAGGGCGCACAGGGAACAGGGGGCTGACCATCTGACCTCAGGGCGCACAGGAAACAGGGGGCTGACCATCTGACCTCAGGGCGCACAGGGAACAGGGGGCTGACCATCTGACCTCAGGGCGCACAGGGAACAGGGGGCTGACCATCTGACCTCAGGGCGCACAGGGAACAGGGGGCTGACCATCTGACCTCAGGGCGCACAGGGAACAGGGGGCTGACCATCTGACCTCAGGGCGCACAGGGAACAGGGGGCTGACCATCTGACCTCAGGGCGCACAGGGAACCGGGGGCTGACCATCTGACCTCAGGGCGCACAGGGAACAGGGGGCTGACCATCTGACCTCAGGGCGCACAGGGAACAGGGGGCTGACCATCTGACCTCAGGGCGCACAGGGAACAGGGGGCTGACCATCTGACCTCAGGGCGCACAGGGAACAGGGGGCTGACCATCTGACCTCAGGGCGCACAGGGAACAGGGGGCTGACCATCTGACCTCAGGGCGCACAGGGAACAGGGGGCTGACCATCTGACCTCAGGGCGCACAGGGAACAGGGGGCTGACCATCTGACCACAGGGCGCACAGGGAACAGGGGGCTCACCACTACTACCATCTCACCTCCAATGCTGCACCTTCCATCTAAGTACCAGCACGCTTCCGCTGTTTTGCGGATCAGCTACAAGGGTGGGTGCCGTCCTATCTCATGGTCTGCTTTGAGGCGCCTCCAAAATCTTCCATCTGATTACTCAAGTAACTAATTTCTACAAGAATGGCCTACCGCTTGTGGTCTACCGGTTGTGGCTGGGAACCTCGCGGCTGGGAACCACATGGCTGGGAACCACGTGGCTGGGAACCACGTGGCTGGGAACCACGTGGCTGGGAACCACGTGGCTGGGAACCACGTGGCTGGGAACCTCGCGGCTGGGAACCACATGGCTGGGAACCACGTGGCTGGGAACCACGTGGCTGGGAACCACGTGGCTGGGAACCACGTGGCTGGGAACCACGTGGCTGGGAACCACGTGGCTGGGAACCTCGTGGCTGGGAACCTCGTGGCTGGGAACCTCGTGGCTGGGAACCACGTGGCTGGGAACCACGTGGCTGGGAACCACGTGGCTGGGAACCACGTGGCTGGGAACCACGTGGCGCATGAAGCGGGAAGAGGTCAGTATCAGATCGACTGTTGGAAAGAGCGGGTGAGTGGTGAACTCTTCCCGCCAGCTCACCACTACCGGGTTTCAACCAGAGCACAGAATGTGAAATAAGTGAAGATTATTTCAAAACTGAAACGAGACGTCTCAAAACGTCACTTATTTCACGTGAATACCTTCCTCACACAGCATGTCGTCCTAGGTCACTCATGGCCCTCGGAACTGCCAGTAGCACATGTTACTCACGGTTGCAGAACTAAACCCAAATCTGATGCTTATGCCATGCCCCCACGCCATGCCCCCCCGCCATGCCCCCCCGCCATGCCCCCACGCCATGCCCCCACGCCATGCCCTCCCGCCATGCCCCCCCGCCATGCTCCCACCACTGGCCTAACGCCTGTGGTCCTCAGGCAACGCGGGGAACCACGTGTAGCGAAGAAGGCAGAAGCGAGTCTTGAGTTATGAGACGTCTGAAAATAGCCAGAGGTTAGTATTGAGTTCTGAGACGCCCCAAAACAGTACTGAGCCGCCCGTAGCTCTAAGGCTGCTCACCTTAGCTCTAAGGTTGCTTTCTCTGCTCATGGCGTCACCATTTAAAATTCTCAAAACTGAGTTCTGAGACGCCTCAAAACGGACCTTTGTTACCCGTAACATGCCAAGGGTGCTTTCGGCCGCTCATGGCCTACCGCGCGTGGTCTTCGGGCGTGGCGGGGAACCATGTCTCGCGAAGCAACCCGCGTCTAGTGCGGCTGCCGAAACCGGTCTGAACCCCGACGAACCCCAGCACGCGCTTCCTCCCCGGATACCGCAACCGATCTGCACTCCTCTCGTCCATCCCTCCCGGGTCCGCCATCGGTCCGACCGCGGCAGTCGCCTGAACGGGCTTTAACTTGGTTGATTTACTACTCGACCATGGGGGAGCGGAGCAGCTGTATCTTAAAACGAGGATTTCTGAAATGAAAAAGAGCAGGACGGCTAGGACTATGAAGAGGCAACGGCGATTGGCGGCGGCGAATCTGCTGTGGGGAGTGCAGCAGAGGGACCAGGAGACGCGCCATGACGTCAGCACTCGCGGCGCGACGGACGTCTGACCCTTTGAGCCCATCAGCGGGTGAAGTTTAACAAATCGAGAGCTACCATAGCGGGGATAGGCGGTGATCGTTTGAGAAAAGGAGCCAATGATTCTGGTTACTATCCATGGATTTGCAGCAGCGGTTTTTACAGAAAAAAACAAATTCCGACGTTGCGATAAAGGGCACAACAGTACATGTAGGTTAATCACGAGTAAGCTTATAGTTTCAGACTAATTATTGATCAATGAGCTTTCATGCTTTCAAATAAGAGTATGGAAAGGGCAAATGCTGTATTCTTAGTTAAATAAGCCCATTCCAGAAAAGGAAGCTAGAATACCACTCTTAAAGCGAGCAGGCAAAATAGTGACCCTGAATTCGAGTTGGGTCCAACTAGAATTTTGTTTTTTTTTTTTCCGGTAAAAGGCAAAGTCCCAACGACAAGAAAAGTGTCGCAACATGCACAAAATTGTCGCAAGCATGCATTGGCATTTCTGCTTCTCCAGCCCATCCAAATTTCCATCGAGCTTGTGAGTGATACCTTAGTGAGAAACTGCTAACTTCACGCCTAGCACCACACACGCAGCATACCCACAATTGTTGAGCTAACTAGATACGCCGGGTGATGCACTTGAGTAGGAAACAAAATAAGTGACAAAATGATGGTACGGGGTGTTGGAATAACCGAAAGGTTATATAAAGCATTCCCGAAGCTGTTCCACTGTACCAGTACCGCAACAGCTCATATAGAGCATGCGGAATGTCGAGGGTCACCCGAAGGTCAACCGTCTGAGGAAGTCAACGGTCGTGACCCTTGACAATCCAGTAACCGCGCGACAGTTAAATCACTGCAACATGGTAACTGTCGAGGATAGCAATAGTCACGATTACTGTAGCTATGCAATACAGTTAATAAGGGAATGTACCCCTCAGAGTACATGGCTAGCTAGATTTCTATTTAATCTCTTGTACTCCTATCTTTCAATCATCTTGTTCTCTTTCAATTATTACTCAACAAGGTCACTACAGAGACTTCATTGTCTCCTCTCAGACTTAACAGATTCTATCCTATCCACTGGATCCTTGGTTATATCAGCATGGTATGAGAGCTAGAGTGGATTATACGATCTGTCAAGTCCTCGTTCTTCTCAGAACAATCCCTTTATAAAGTTATTTATTACACCTCAAAGTCTGCAATACTATGGCTCCTGAAGGAAAAGCTACTGCAGACTCACCGGGCCCACCACCAGCAACGACTAACACGCCATCAGCGGTGACCTCCGTCAGCGCCGCTGTCGTTGAGGAGCTAGTCGCACGCATCAACGCCCTTGAAAGCCATCAAGCAATGAGCGTTGACGGCTCAAGCTATGCACGTGGCGTTGCTGGACTTCCTCTCCCTGGAGAAGACCGCCGCGTCAACTCCGAGAGATCCTTCACCTTCGACAATCGTCAAGGGTCAGCTCCTGCACAAGACATCCCACAGCGCTCACAGTCAGACATTGCCTCAATGCAAACCAAATTTGTATTGACTTCAAAATTGAAGACCTCAATTCCTTTCGATGGAAAGGATTTCTACACGTGGAGTTTCGAATTCGAGCTTCTCACGACAACCGCTCAAATCTGGATGTACTACGACGGAAGCCTACCTTTTCCCTCGGAAGGTACCATCCGGGAGAAGCATCAATACTACCACGAATCCCTCCTCGAGTACACCGCTCTCCTTCGCAATCTCTCATCTGAAGAGCAGCTCGGCATTCGCCCTTATAAGACGGAGTGGGCTCCCGCGCAAGCCTCCTGGGAACACCTGCGCAACTCATACATGGCAACAGATCCAGTTACGATGAGCCGTCTACTCAGCCAACTGACTTCGGTTAAAATGAAGCAAGGGGAGAAAGTGGGACCGTATGTCAACCGGTGCCGCAATCTGCGTGACCAAGTCAAGAAATGCGGTGGGACTGTCCCCGACGACATGTTCATCTCGATGGTCATCTCTGGCCTCGGCCCCGACTGGCGACAATGCCAGTCACTCCTTCGCGCCCGAGCAACCATATCAGAGTCAGCTCTGTGCGCCACGCTTCTTTCGGAGCAGAAGGAAATCGACCTGTACAACGAGAAGAATGTTAAACGGGAGAAATTAGTCTTCTACACAGGAGCATCACAAGGGGAACAACGCGGAAAGAAGGGAGCTTTCTGCAAATACTGCAAGAAGTCTGGCCACTCTATCGACCAGTGCTACAAGCGTCAGGCCGCTGACGAGCGGCGCAACGCCTCCAACCAACAACCATCGACGCAGACAAAGCCCTCCACCACTGTGTCGCCTCCTTCCGTCGCCAGCACTTCACAATCCCCTGCACTCATCACGGCGAAGGACAAAGGAAAAGGAACAATCATAAGCTGCATGGCTCGACGCAACAGAGGGTCCCGTTACTGGGATCGAGTAACATTCACTCGCGACAATCCCATCAACCCCGTTGCGCCCAGTCCAGACAATGATCCAACAGCTTTCACCTGGTCCTCTCGCCCCTCAGACATTCCTCCTGACTTCGAGCTCCCTCCCCCTACTCCGGAATCGCCGCCGAGCATTTCCGCAAACAGATATTTCGCCCTCTCACCGTACACCGGCGACCTTGATCGCATCGTCACGCCCAAGATTGCCAACCTCGCCCGCCAGCGCTACGAGGATCTGGACACGTGGTACC